GGTGAGACTATGAAGTGGGGAAAAAAAAAAAAAAAAGACAATTCTTTATAAAACAAAGCAACTTCAACAATGGGTGGATACATATTCGAGAATGACATTTTAAACAACCAAATTAGTTTACATTATCAATAGGAATAATTATAGACAATCTTCATGGTTAGAAAACCAATTAATGTCTCCATAAGTAGCCTTTCCTGCAGCAGAGGGAACATCTTCTATCACTTTCTCTTGTCCCTTTGGGTAAAATATTCCAGTCCGATCATCAGGAACCCACCAATTATCATCATTATTACTATGATTTTTCATGACTGTACCTTTGCTCTTCACTTCCTCAGCATTAAGTTTAACTGTATCACTAATCATGTCTGGGGAAGTACTTTTTCTGTGATAGGCTTTGCGCAGGATTGGCCTGTGTACAATACAGAAAGAATGGTGTTATTCATTTTTATGTTTAAAGATTGTTATATGTAGTGAACTTCAAAATAATACTGTAATTCAGTAACTTGATTTGCTGATTATCTTCATTTTCCTGTTGATAAAGGAAATTGTTGAAGCATTATTTGATTCAAATATCTCATATGCCTGGTGTTTTTTGTATTCTCATTACACTTAAATCCCCTTATCGCTTTGTCGGTCGATTATATAGTGGGATTATGGCACCCTTGCTAGATGCTATAATTATAATTCCAAGCTAATTCCATAACCTGTATCGTTAAAAGCGTTCTTAATTTAAGGCATTATTAATGATGTATAGGGGTGTCAAATATGTGGGTTGGACTAATTTTGGAAGGGTCAAAATGAGTCGAGTCAATAAATGGATGAGTCAATCACCCATCCAAAAGTTACTTAGGCTGAAACGGACTGGATTAAGATGAACTAAAATTTAGCTGAAAAAACATAAGTAGGCCATATTTAAGAAGATATTTCAGTTACCTAGCAGTAGTAGGTATTCTACAAAAAAGGCACCTAAATAATTATATTTTTAGTATGAAGCTATAAATATGGACCCAGAATCACGATTTAAAAAATCTAAACCATTCAATTCCAAAAAAAAGAAATCCAAAGCAGTTCCGATTCTTTTCCTTAACTTCCTAAATTAACGTTGAACAATAATTTGACTAATTTTATATTATTTGATTTTTG